AATGCTAAGCTGTCGATTCATCCTGATGTTCCGTGAGTACTCGTCCTCACGTAGAGGATGGTAGGTCATGTGTGGGAACGGCAGGAGGTCCTAGTCCTTAGGGGTACTTTGGACAGATAGGACTAACCTCGGGTGGCAGCTGATGAGAGTATTTCAGTTACTACATCACCCGGGTGCACGAACGTCGTAGCTACACAGACTTCATACAGTCCGGACAGTCAGTCTAGTATTAGGAATTATATGTTACGTACACTGGATTTGCCTTGTGCGTTTGATTGCTTGAAGTGTATGTTTATACTTGAATTAAATTACATAAGCTTACCCTGTGTTTTCCTTGTGTTGTCTCGTCTTGTACGTTCGTCTTGTCGTTGCAATGATCATCCGTGTGGATGTGAGCAGAAGGAGACGCGNAATGCATGAAAAAAGAGAGAAGAAGGTTTTGCCTTCAGTCCCTGTAACATGCATTCATGCATATATATAATCGTCCATACATATACAAATAGCTTAATTATTCTATACATGAAAATACTCTGCCAGAAGAAGCTACAGCAGTTAAGTATGAAATGTAATTTCTTTATAAAATTATGATATTAATCGTCTTAGTAGACAGCATTTGTATCCTGTTGGATTTTAAGTTTCTTTCTTGGCTTTTAAGTTTATAGCAAGGGTTCTCAAATTCCTTACACTTTATTAAAAAAAATATTTTCTACATTAATTATTTGGGCTTGATCTTTAAACCATTTTAGATATTATCTATTTCCAGCGTAATTGTGAAAAGCTGAAAAGGATGAATCTTATCCTATTTAAACGTTAAAAGGGATTAAAATATATGATAATGGTGTAAATACTCGACAAACCATTAGAATAACAAGTAATTCTCACTTTAATAACACATAAAATTAATATATAACATGATAACCTTAAAATGTATCACAATCAATCATTTTACATTTCAACATTCAAGCCATATTTTAAGTATCAATAAAAACCAACCACTTTACACTCAATATATGTATGTTTTAATTATATTTTCTAATTTTTTAATTTAAAGTATTAATATACTATTATATTATTAAAATGAATGATAAGTATATGTTTTTTTAAAGTATTAAAGTACATATATTTTTATCATAATAATAGATGAACTAAAAATATAAAAAAAAATTACTATAAGAAATGAAAGAAAAAAAAGATACATTTATGTATTCAAAAAATAATTAAACTTTAAATACAATATTTAAGTTTAATTAAATATTGTCAGGCCTCGTTAAACGCACCCAAAGCCACTCCCGTTAGGCTCATTAAAACGCACCCAAAACCCCTCTGAACGGACGCCAGGTGTCAAGCAACGAGGATTCGAAAATCAGATAGTGAAATGCAGGTGTCAGCAGATGAGCGGACGTTCGTCTTAAGCAAAACTGAGTTTTTAGAAAAATCACGTCCCACTCTCTGCATGCATCTTCTCCTCCAAACTCTGATCTTTTCAAATTCTCCTCCTTCTCACTAGAAAACTCTCCCTTCTCACTAGAAAACTCTCCCTTCTCTCTAAGAAATCTTACCGTTTCTTTTCTCCGATCACCATTCAGGCACCGTGGAAGCGTCGTTTCCGGCGCCCTGAGCTTCATTCTGAACCGAACAGCTTCGAGTTCTGAACTGGTAAGTTTCCCATCTTTAGCCGTCCGTTCTCTGGTACATGCAAACCAAGTATCGGTTGCATGTTGTTACCTTGTCTGAACCACTATTGGTTTTTGGCTGTTTGGTTAGTTTGAAGAGTTGTGGAACGTCAGGGTACAAAGATCTGTAGTCAGACGAAGCGTATCCTGTCTCTAGGACGATCGTTCACGCTCAGAGGTAAGGGAAGCTTATTTAATTTAATCTGTATGTGTATTATGTTGAATGAACGATTGTTAATGGACTGAAATGAAAATAATGCATGATGATTGATATGTTTGGATTGTATGAATGTTGATATGGATTATACGAAGTAGGCAAATTGATTATGATATGAATTTTATAAAGTTATGAAATTATGTAATGAGAAATGACTTGAAGATAAATGACTCCTGAATATGAAATTTCCTATGATAATATACGTTCGTCATTGAACGGTCTTTGACCGTTCGGTGTTTCTAGTAGACTCTTTTGAAATTGAATTCTTTCATTTGGAAAGAATTCTAATTGAGGACGAGCGTCTTCTTGTGATAGTACTGGGCTTGAGCGTTCGGCCAAGCGTAGTTGCATCTGAGTATTCGGTGATGAACCTGAATGTGGTAAATATATGTATTTGTATATCTTGATTATTCGTAAACCCCACTCAAATAGTATATGACTATATTAATCAAACCCATTTTCTATAAGCTTAATAACGTTTGGCATTATACCAAGTGTTTGTTCTAAGTAAGTGTTTGGTCTCACCCCAAATGCTCGTACGGAGTAGCGCTCGGTCTTACACTGAGCATTCGTACTCGTTTCTCTTACAATCTATCTTTACGAAAATGACGTTCGTCCAACTTCAATAAGAACTTTCTTCTCTATCGTGCTCGGTCATTGACTGGCATACAGATTTATTGATGTAAAATTTAAATAAACTAAGTATTTTTCAGCGTTCGGTTAGAACTCTTAAGGGTCAGTTCATCTAATTGACTCACTTTTTAAGTAACGTACGGTTTAGTCATTCTTGCGATATGCAGTTGATTTCGGTTTCTTTCCATAATCCATTAGTGACCCTCTCAGTCTTATTTTATTCTAGAACTGGAGACCTCTCGGTCTCGTTCCAAGTGTTCATCCTCGTTCTGAGTGAGGATCGAACGTTCGGTATCGAGTATCCGTAAGAATCTTTGAACAAAGATGAGATTTAACTTATTACTAATGAAAGATGAATTTGAGAAAAATTGATAATGAGAGATGAAGTTAAGAATGATTAAGAATGTGTTATGGATTGAAAATGTTGGATTTTGAACGAGTGTTCCGGGGAGGAACAACTCATGAGTGAATATTTGAAATTTGTAAAGTATGACTGTGGTAATGCTAAGCTGTCGATTCATCCTGATGTTCCGTGAGTACTCGTCCTCACGTAGAGGATGGTAGGTCATGTGTGGGAACGGCAGGAGGTCCTAGTCCTTAGGGGTACTTTGGACAGATAGGACTAACCTCGGGTGGCAGCTGATGAGAGTATTTCAGTTACTACATCACCCGGGTGCACGAACGTCGTAGCTACACAGACTTCATACAGTCCGGACAGTCAGTCTAGTATTAGGAATTATATGTTACGTACACTGGATTTGCCTTGTGCGTTTGATTGCTTGAAGTGTATGTTTATACTTGAATTAAATTACATAAGCTTACCCTGTGTTTTCCTTGTGTTGTCTCGTCTTGTACGTTCGTCTTGTCGTTGCAATGATCATCCGTGTGGATGTGAGCAGAAGGAGACACGATGCTGGAAGAGGAGATGGAAGAAGAGAATTTGGTAGAGGTAGAAGTGAAGACCGAACAGTAGGACGTTCGGTTAGTAGTTTTAGTTATTTAGTAAGGTGGTCGTTCGATCACCTTTTTCTTTCGTTTTGTATGACCGTTCGATGTTGGTTTTGTAAAATGTTCGGTCAAATATTGCTTATCTTATACAGTTTAGTTTGTAGCACTATGTAAGGCCGTTCGGCCGTATGTATGCATCGTTTTAGTGTAAGATTGAACTGATATATTATTAAATGTAATTAATTCTATTATATGGTTTATTACTGTATTTTTGGGATGTTACAAATATAAATAAGGAAATTATATTATAATAACCAAACATTTTCTCAACCTTTTTTTTTTCTTTAACACTATAAACTAACTAGGTTACATATATAGTATCTTTTTAATGATCTTATGATATTTTAGAAACATATACAACTGAATCCTAAAGTTGATTTATACAGGTTCAATGATGTTATAAAGATAATCCTATAAGATCAACTATTTCGGAGTTTCAATGAATATGATCCAATGCCATCATACAAAATCCCCCAACATATTTATTTTATGAGTGATCTTTTATAAAATTCTTTTAGAGTAAAATTTACAAATTTACGGTAAATAATTAATTTAAATGACTAATTATTGTTCCTAAACAATATCTCGTTATAGCTGCTTTTTGAACAAAACACACTTTTCGGATTACTCTGCCTTAGTTTGTGTTTTGACTTTGGAGCTGGTCTTACGGGTGAGAGAGTTTTGGGTTTGATAAAATATTAGGCCCAAATAAAGCCCAATCTGTAATACTTAGGTGTCAAATTCATTCCGGCCCATGCTATCTACACCTCCCTTCACACTTTACATCAATTTTTATTTTTGCCTTTATATATTCATAAAGGAAAGATGACATCCGTGAAACAAAAAACACTTGTCAATTCAAATCAAGAATGTTTTAATTAAATTTTCTTTACTTTTTAACTTAAAATTCAAATTCACATTATTATATTACTAAATTAAATTGTAAGATAGGTGAGTGTATTGTTTTTAGAGTTCGTCAAATTAATTTTTCTTGTTTGTTACATTCAAATTTATCTTTTAACCTTTTTTAGTTGTACAAATTAAACAAATAATATTTCTTCACATCCCTACTTTTTCGACAATTTACGAAAATTAGTTTTCCCAATGTACATAAAGGAAAAAGAAATTGATATTTTTTTGTTTCCCTTTCACGTGATATTTGATTAGTTATGTGCACTCCACAAATTTTTTCATTAAATTTATAGTATATAGTAGGGCCAACCAAAGATACAACACAAATTAATATGGTAGGACTGAATGTATGGAAATTATACATATTGGAAGATACACAGACAATATCATATATATATATATATATAACATATGATGTATTAGTACAAATGGTGATTCTTGCTTTAATTTCTTAAAGTTTTCATGGGAAGAAGTTTAGCAGAGGAAATTCGAAGGGCACCCTTCAGGAGACTTAGGGATATGTATCCCACACCACTTCCAAATCATAGAAAGGCTATGCCATAATTTTAAATAGGGTTATCAGCTGCATCCAAAGGTCAAAATCAAGGGAGAAACTGTTAGAAAATAATGCACAACTTCTATAATCAGATTCATGGAAACCAATTACATACAAATTTAATAACAAAAATAAGATTAAATTATAATATATAAATTAATATTAATTTTACTTATAAACTATAGTTTTGTGTAAGTGAGTTTATCACATTTCTAAAAATCGATGATATATATATGGTTTGTAGGAGAGATTACATAAATAAAATCCGTAATATTTTTCTATAGATTGAAATCAGTTTACACATAACGCGAAAAAATGTTTATAAAAAATTAATAGTCACTAACTTGACTATTAATTTTAGAGACTGGTTTAATGACCAGTTATATATGGAAATAAAACATAATTTCAAAACTAACAATCCTTAATTTTAAAAAAATAGTTTACAAGTTAAATTATTCAACAACTAAATATTCATTATTTCTAATTCAGATTCTATTTAATGAATTTCTTATAATCAATTCAAAAATAAGAATTTATAAAAATTTTATAAGAAAAGTTCTATAAATTAGTTTATGCCTTATATATTATGAAAATGTTAATTTCATTATATTCATAAATAATTTATGTAAATAAACCCTAAAGTCATAAAAAAAATAAAATAAAATCTAAAGAGGCCCCTCAAATTTGGGATTTAAGAGAAAAAAAAGGAGAGGAATAGAAGAAAAGAAGAAAAGCAAAAAAATTGAAGTAAAATTATAATTGAGCTGTTTGATAAAATAAGTGTGTAAATATAACAAAAGTATATACTTTGAGACTGAAAACATTCACTTCACAGCTAGTTTTAATGATATATATATAAGGACTGAAAAAAAAGAAAAGAAAACAACACAGAGGACTTTACAATACATTACTTACTACTGATTTATTTTTCTGATAATAGAGTGTATGGATGACATGAATTAAAAAGCTTATACAAAGATTGACAAAATGTTCATTGCTGCTTTACCTTGCTGTGTAAAAATTTGATCATGGATGCATCGATGCATTAAAAAACAATTAACTTGTGATGAAGATGAATAATGTGCTTACACAAGTTGAAGAGCAGTGTGGTCTTGACGTGAGTATTGATGATGACTGGAATCTATGAGGTTTACAGGGAAGAAATTCCTGTCATATGACTGTGAAGCTGGTAAGGACTCGCACACATTTCCTGTCATATGTTGCTGTTGTTCTTCTTCTCTATCGTGTTCAGCTATCTACCAATCATCACACCAACCATGTATTCTTAGTTACATTATATCTATATCTATCTATATATACAACGAGAAAAAGTCTTGGAGAATGATGAGAGACCTTAGCTCGCAGAAAATTATTGTGGTTTTGCAGCTCTATTTCCTGCGTTTTTTCATGCATATGTTAGAAGAGGTCGACCATGTACAAATATCAGACATAATTTCGGTAAAGTTTGTATTAATCTATCAAATTTTAAGTTAGTTTTCAGGATTATTCGGCTTCAGTTTCATATTCTTGGTCCTGTCACTAGAGTTACACAATCATGTTCAATATTGTTGTATATATTCATTTTCTTCAGATACTATATATATATATAAGTATATGTCTAAATAATGAAGAAAGCAAAGCAGAAACTCATATATAGCATGCATTGAAGGAAGGATGAGTATACGTACCCGCTTTTGCATGAATTCGATATCCGCAAACAATGTCTCATGCTGAAAGAAGTCGAGTGTATGTCAGTTCAAAGGAATATACATACAGAGAATTCTAACTTGGAAGAAAAATAATGCATATATAGTTTTATTCAAGATACTAACTTAAATTGTCTGTATAAGTTGCTATAGTTTTTTACTAATTATGTTTAGTGGCTTAATTCTCTTATAATACCTTTCTGGATCTGACTCTGCTCAAACCTTTCTCCAATCTACTCTCAAGATTCTTTAATTCCTTCAGACTTAGAGAACTAAGAGCTTCACCAAGGATGTGCCTGGAATTAATTAAGCAAGAAATTCCGGTGATCTTTTCGCGAGAGACTTGTTGGAAAACTTTTCAAGAGAAGAAGCTGACCTGTTTAGATTCTGAATGTCTCTGATTTGTCTTTTTAACTTGGATGATTCTTGCTGATAAAACTGATATTCATAAATAGTGTAATGTTTGTCAAGAGGTTACAACATATATATAACAACATGGTGATAGAAAAAATTTATAAGATTTAACCAGAACACTTAATAGTTAATATCGTTAATTTTCTTAAGAGAAACAAAGAACCAGTGAATTTATCACTCAAGATGATGAGAATTAAGTCACCAAACTCAAACAGATTCTTTTTACCAAAGACTACATTATTCACACACAAAAAAGAAATCCCAAATTCAAACACAAATCATGTTTGTTACTAGAAGCAGAAGGTCTTGTAGGAAAGAAAAGAAAAGAAAAGAAAATACTGAGATTGTCTATTTTGTTTCTAAATTGGTTTTTGTTTTAAGAAACTATGTAGTACATTTTATTCAATCGTGTCTCTTTTTGTCATCTTTTTTACTATTTAAATTACTCTTTATTAAATATATCAATTTTTGTAAATCCTAAGATTTATATAGATCTAACAAGTCCCTAATCATATAATCCGAGATACTGTTGACATAAAGGGTTAATATATTTAAGTTTTAGAATATCTAATCTCCATAGAAAGTTATAAATATTTTCAATAAACAATTTTTGAACCAAAAATTACCCTAACTATATATATATATATATATATATATATATAGAGAGAGAGAGAGAGAGAGAGAGAGAGAGAGAGAGAAAGCATTTTCTTAGTTTTCTTTGATTTGTTCACTAATGAAATTTACCTGTGTATTAGCTTCAGAGACAGATTCTGCATTTGAGGAAGCAGCGCATGCTTTCTTGTACCTATCGATAGTTCCTCTAACACTGCAAACAATACAACAAACAGAAGCATAAAAAGTTGATAAATTTATCTGTGTTTTACAAATAAATTATGAACTCATCTTCTATCGACATTAAACTTTTAGGTCAAAGAGCTCTGATCTCGAATTGGAAAAAGGTTTAATCTTATAATATCCCATTAAACGTGTAACATATCCCACTAAAGTTCAAACACAAACTGCTTAACTTGTATAACCATAGTTAGAGATAATGCGGAATATGCAGGAAGAGGTAGATGGTTGCATCAGTAGGTGAAAGTTTATCTTTCCCTTTAATTGAAGAGTCCAAAACTCATAATGGAAAGAGTTGGGTATAGAATTGACGTGAGGAATGCTAAGCTTTATTCCACAAAAAGATGAAAACAATACAAATAAATGGGAAAGAGAGAAGTGATTAACCTTTAGCCATTCTTAGAATCTGTTATCATAACGTTACTTTTAGCTATTTAGGGTAAAGAAATCAGAATAATATATAATCACTCTGATATGTAACCTCTTTCACATTAAATCCTTTTGTTCTTCTTTCAAAGATTCTACATTCTTTTAGAAATACAGATAAGGATGAAAATAAAAGATCAATGGAGATGAAGATGGAAAACCGTAGACAATACTCTTGCCGATGGACATTGATAATACCACCATATGGGGTGGAAAACCCTAACCAGAGAATACTTTCCTCTATTTATGTAAAGGACAAAATTTACTAAAATGGGAAACAAATTCTGACTTCCACGAATCTCTAGAAATACTTATTGCTTTAAATTCATTTACTTTGTCGACAACCAATTCATGATGAAAACTTTATTCAGACTTTTCAAGATATTGAAAAACGTTATACACTAAAAATGCACGTATAACAACCAATGGAGACCCTAATATCTTATTTGATATTGTATGGAAATAAAAAAGGGTATGTTTAAAAGAGAAACTGCATTTACCAAAAGAAATTGTATAAATAAAAAGATATACAATCAAAGATGTTAAAGAAAAAAAGAGATGCTAAAACACAAGATGAATGATATCACATATAAATGTACCGTGCGAATAAGTGATCTCTTTTTAAAAAGCCTCTTTTCCTCCCCAAAAGGTATTTAGTTGGAAGATAACCTGGATTTGCAGTTTTTGCACAACCATGTAATGCGATCATGTAACTAGAATCGAACTTCTTTCATACGTGAAAACGAATTGAAGTGGTTGAGGTGTGACCAAAGAGTGAAAAAGTCGAAAACCCTAGCTCCCATTTGGATGAGGTGCTCGTGTTATATCACTATACATTGACAAATAAGTAGAACAAGTACTGATATTAAGGAAGAGTCAAAGATAGACACGACAGCAAGAAAAACAAGAAGGCTTCATTGAGTGCGTGACAGCTTTGTGCAGAAGACCCTTTTAAGATTTGATGGTTGACAAGTAGAGAGAGAAATCAATGAAAGAGAGAGAGAGAGAGATTGGTAAAGCTTATCACAGCATGGTCATTGAATGAGAACATACACAAGGAAGCTAAGATCCCTCGCCTGCAAATCTTTATAACCCTAAATAAAGCTTTCTCTTCTTCTGATATACATATATATATATATATATATATATATATATATATATATATACACATATATAAATATATATGCTACTTTATATAGTTTCACTTCAATGTCTCTATTTCTATTGCTTAAACAGATCTGCACCCTTCTAAACAGGGAAAAAGAGCAACGAGTATACAAGATCTAGACAGAATGGTAGATATCTCAGGGAAGACTTAGAGAGTAATTTCTGAAAATACTGACTCCTGTTTAAGGAATGAATATATATATATATATGTGTGTGTGTGTGTGTGTGTAACACTAGAAAAGAAAAGAAAAGAAAATGTTTTAAAATAGTTGTGTGAAGATTGTTATGATATATGAAATGAGAGTGACAGAGAGGAAGATGTTTGAAAGAATTTGAACCTGTTGTTTGCATACTCATAAAGGCGTCCACGGCTTGAGAAGACAACGAGAGCAACTTCGGCATCACAGAGAACAGACAATTCATAAGCCTTCTTGAGCAACCCGTTGCGACGTTTGCAGAAGGTAACTTGCCGATTGGTGGTGTTCTCGATCCGCTTGATCTCTATTTTCCCTCTTCCACTTTTCTTCTGAGAACACCCTTCTGATATTGCTTCGTTCGGAAACTCCATATCTCTCTCGCCGCAACAACCTACCCACTACAAAATATAGTCAGAAAAGAAAACATAAAACACCAAAAGTAGATATTTTTCCCTTTGGGTCACTTCAAGAATAGATGAAATCTTTTAGGATAACCAAAGAAGCTTCGAAAGAAATGGTCATTAAGCTTGATGATTTGTACTGAACATATACACACACTATGATATTAAGCTTGTTGTCCCTAAGACGAACATATTATATAATAATGAAAGAGAGAACGGAGAGAAAGAAAGGGTGTGTTTGTAAGTAGATGATGGGTAGGTGTTGTACCTATGCAATGAGAATAGCAGTATTTATGGTGAAGAGAAAAAGGATGCAAAATATGGAAGTGGGTTGGCCTAGGAGAAAGGTATTTATGGAGTGAAAATAGACGGTGGAACTGATTGAGAGCACTGAAAATAGTAATTTGGTGAAGGGATATGTGTGATGTTTGGAGAATAAAAAGAAAAAGGAGGTTGAGAAGAGAAGGGTTTGGCCTGGGATTCAGCTGTTAAGTCTGATGTTCAATGTATGAAGCTTTCATATTTGTTGATGTATGTATGGGAAAAAGGTGAAGGGGGACAATGAAAGTGTCTTTTTGAAAGTGACTTTGTATGAGGTGGGCTTTCATTATTCATGGCCTATGAGAGGGACGTCAACGTAAGTTTGCACGCAAAAACTTACAACCCTTTGATTTTTTAGGCATGGCTTCAGGTTGCTTCTTGGATTTTGAGTTTTGGCATTTTATCCACATAGAATCCACTCTCTTTCTCTTCTACTTCAAACCTCTTTTCTCAGTTCCTGCTTTAACATCTTAAGGGATCGGTTTATATCAACAACCCGAGAGATTATATAAATATGATTATGTGAATTTAATCATATTAAAATTACAAAATATGAATTTGTAATCCTTGAAACTTCCCATGTTGTCATATTCATGTATATAATTATCAGAGTTTGATTGTGTCTTTTTCTTCTTTTATACACACAAGAGATGAAAACATGATTTAGAATCGACAAAGAATAACGGCAGTTTTTAAATCAAAGTAAAGTCTTCTACAATTATAGTAGTATGGTTATAGTCAATGATATTGATTATGTGAACACTTAATTCAACATTTAATTATGCTACACACTTCTATTTTTTGTGAATTTTAGTATTATTCTTTTATATCACCACTTTAAAAATGGTTCCTCTATTTATTAATTGAACGTGACTTTAAAAATAAGTTTTGATACCCTTCCATATGAAATAAATAAAAATATTCACGTGAAATAAATAAAAACATGTTATATATGTAATAATTTAAATAATATGGCATTAGTTTGACGGTCAAACCACTAGAAAGATGAAAAGACACCCTCCATCACCACCACTACTTTCTTAACCATCCGGAAGCTCTTTTTGCTACTCATCGCCCATCCTTTAATACCTCAACCAGACCATGGAAGAACAAAAAGTCACCACCATCCGTTTTCGAGTAAAAGAAAAAAAGAATTGAAATTGAAATAAAAGATTACTGAAATTCACAAGAGAGATACATTCGTAGAAACAGTGAAGAACAAAAGCTTCAATGATGGAGCATCGATGTAGGAGGAGACCACGCCTCAGATAGTACAAAATACTGTGAAACCATATATGAGGATCACATTGTAACCTACTAGGTTAAAAAGTGATTTTTTTTAGTCTAAGTTAATTATACAAAATTAGCTTGTAAGATAAGATTTACACTCACTTATATATTCTAAATTAGTTTTAGGAACTTCCTGCAAAGGAGGAAGAAGATAATGTCAAATACATGTAATCGATTCAAGATCAAACCCAGTTTCACTAATGAATGTCGAAAAGAGAATGGAGAGTGGGTGAGGAGGGACGCAAGACGAAGACAAGTTTCTCTATTTCATATATATCTATTCCTAAAGAAAAAAATTCATCTCCATAAACCTAATGAATATATAAATTTTTTGTCTCATAACGAGTATAAACTTACAATATCAATTAATTAATTTTTGGAAAATAATAAATATTTCTTACAAAAAACATAATATTAAAAAATATTTAATATCAAAGGATGTATTCTGGTTTCTTCAATATCGAATATTTAGAAAGAAATTATAATGACATACATTTCAAATTACAGTACTAAATAAAATTTCATGAAACCAAAATATTTATTAAATTTATACAAAAATCATAAAACAAAATTGATAAAGTTTAAAATATTTTAAAATAAAATTAGGAAAAGAAAACAAAAAAAAAAAAATTTAAAAAATTTAAATGTCTCTTTACAACAATATTCATTAAATTCTAATGAAATCTTTGTTTATACACTAAGAAAAATTATAATATATTATCACAAGTAATTTTAAAAATTAATAAAATGAACTATCATTGAAATAGTAAATAAAATTACAACGATAAATTAAATTGATTTCTGAAATTAAAAATATAAATAACAAATTGTAAATAAACTTGGTTCATTTTTATTTAATCAAACGTCATAAGAAAATATATGAATTAGTATATTAAATGAACGAGAGACAAAATTAGTTGCATTTTCATTCTTTTAATATACACTAACTAGCTAGTAACGTAAAAGATAAAATTAGTTGCATATTCATTCTTTCAAACATAAATTGCTAGTTATAATTCCATATAAATTCTTTTAGCATCTTCGTATTGGTGATGAGATTTTTATGTGAATCTTTTATTTATTTTATATGATATATAATTTGTCATTTTTATATAATGTAAGATTTACACTCACATGATTATATTTCTAACATTTGACTATGTGTGTGAGTAAACCATAACCATTACAGCCAAGTTATTTTCACCGTTGTTTTGAGCCTTATATCACACTCAAATTCTATTGGGAGAAATTTAATGAAAATATTAATTAAGGTCATGTTCTATGTCCTAAGGCGACCAAAAATCATGAAAAAAAAAATAGAATCCTTGAAGTTTCTTCTTTAAGGACAACGTTGTTCAAAGATGGAAAAGGGTTTGATGATAAGCCATTGATAAGTGCAATTATTCCTTCATACCTACTCCTAATCATAGTGTCTGAAATTGGGGCATACAATCATCTTCTCCTTGACAATGTCTGATCCATCACATGCCAGCTGATTAAAGTTCCTTCCATGTATTTATATCACCATTATACAAATTACAAATGCTTGGTTAAATAAGTCATTTTCTCTATGTATGGCTAAATGTAACACTATCAAACTTGGAGAATATTTTCTACGAAAACGACAAGGAAAATTACTTATACATAAGAAAAAAAAGAAGGACTTTTTCTTTTTTCATGGGACAAAGCGAAGAATGTGATCTTAGGAACAAAGATTGAAACAAGCACGGACGCGCAAACAAGAATTCTTAAAATCTGTCATGTATGAAAATTAATGTTCTTGCTTTGAACAATGATGCTCGTTGTTAATTTTGCTTGCGAAGCATCATATTATTTCTGTAATTTGACTCAAACCATTCTGTCCATATTTGTAAGTTCTCTCCATTTTAGAAATTCCTCTTAAGATTCAAGTGTTTCGTGTAAAATATATAATTCATAAACATCTTAAATTATCAGAATCGATATCTAAATCCAATGAATCCATCCCTAGATAAATAGTATCACTTTCAACTAAAATCATTAATTTATAGTATTTTTTTATGTAGTTAATGTCACTCACTTGCACTCAATATAAAATATCTAACTCTGCAGTTAAATTCCCTACATTATAAAAAAACTCCCATCACTAAGTTACAACGAGAATGTTTCTTTCTATCCTCATCTATCGAAATAGTCTCAGATGAATCAGAAAATTAATATTAAGAATTATGTATCGTCTTTAATATTTAGCGTTATTTGTAAACAAGCTGCGAAAACGTAGAGGAAATACTACTTTTTTAGTGAAAAAAAAACTTTCAATATATAGAAGAAGTACGAATAAAAAATTCAAAATATATATCATACTTGAACATGAAATTTGTTAGAATGTACATGTAGCTCAATAATGATATGTGATGAAATTAGTTATTAAAATAAACCATTAACTATTCAATGTAAAATTTAAACTCACAGTACAATTAATAACAACTAAAATATGTTTTCATAGACTTAGCTAAACCTTAGAAGGTCATTTTATAATATAAAATTTGTATTATCCTTATACATGTATTGGTAATGTTAAAATGAGAATGTATATGTGCTTTGTCATGTCCAGAAAACAAAACCAGGGTGGTAAAAGGTAAGAAAAAGGTTGTTTTACTCCAGTTTTTGTCTTTGAATTGCCCTAAATGATTTAAGTTGGTAATTGAGAGTGAAATAGTGATAGCAATTAATGCATAACGTAGGACCACACAATGCAGAGCAGCAATATTGTGATGATGATATATAGTTGATTCACAGTGGAGCATAAGTCAAAATGGAAATTATAGTTATTGATTAGGTGAGGGACCAGCACTGCAAAATACGTGAGGAGTTGAAGAAGATGCTATGATCATCCTTCCATAAATGGAGACCATGAAATTTTCAGAGTCTAGCATGGGAATCATTCTCTGTGTACTGTGTAGGTACCACCAAACATCACTCTATTACTTTTTCATTTCCTTCCAATTCATTCACCTCACTATTAGTTTCCTATACTTCCAACATTCAAACCCTAATTCTTCCTTCTTTTTCTTTGTTCCAATCATAAAAGGAAACTCAATGTCACTTCTTTTTTCACTTCCTCACCAAACATTTTTTACTCATTTTTCTTTTCACAACTAATCTAATAGTATTTTTTCACTTTCAATACAGAAAGAACATCTCTCTATACACACAAAACCATGATGGTGTGATTTAGATAAAACAAATCTTATCATGCAATGACGTGTTTGATTTATGTTATTTACATCTCAAATATAATTCTTTCATTCTAGTTTAAGAATTACGAATGTTTTGTTTTATGTTTTAGTCATATGTGTGCATATATATAACCCTTTATGTTTACTATTTTCCATTTATATTATCTTATTTTTAACGAATTAATTTATACAAAATATTATAAAACTATTTTGGTGTACGATGATAATTTTTAACCTCATAAACTATTCAAAGCCACTAATAGTTATTATAATATTAAACACGTTATAATTTAATATATGAAGTTGCTAATGATATTTCTTCTAACATTTTACTCTATATGATCCCAGAACATTTTAACAGCATTTTTTTTTAATTTCTTTTTTGTTAATTACATTAATTTTCTCTCTTTTCTTCTTATTTATTATTTTGTTGTGTGAAAGTTACACAAATATATAGTTGAAATATATATTCTCATAACAAATAACAATGCTGTGTTATTATTACTGTTGATGATC